TAATGCTGCCTAAATACGGTGTTAATTCGTTATCGATTATGCAGCCCCAATAATATATTTCTAGTCTCAATCTTACCCGACGAAGTAGTAGCATTTTCCGCAAAAAATGACGAATATGTTCAAGAAGAAATACATAATTAAAGGAATTTCTAACGTAAAGCTTGTACATAGTATGGCATTCTAGCACTGTTAATGCATTATGGCATTAACACACGCACTTCATTACCGCGTATATTGCGTGTTTAACTCATTGGAAAGAAATTCAGTACAAATTTACTTGTACAACCCTTCTTCTATATTCTAATTACGATAAATGTCGTTAATGTTGTAAATAAGCAGAAAAAATCTACTTGCGTTGAGTTTTGCAAAGTAAATTCGTCACTTTTTGTAGAGTTCCGAAAAAACAGAGGTAAAATACTACTTGGTACGGCCCTGCCGGGTCTTTTATGTACAGAAGAAAGCCGCCCTCATGTAATGGCATCGTTGGGTGCATAGGAATCGACTTCTGAACTCGTGCAAACGAGTTCTCCGTTTCCAACTCAGTTTTCGTTGAAGCGGATCTTGTGCGCACCTCTTGGACCTGGGTATTTTTATGGGTTTCCTGCGTTGTGAGGGTTCAATAAATGGTATGTTTTCTTGTTCAGTTGACAGTTTCCTCACCATCGATGCTTTCGTCCTGCGTTGTTGAATCGTCACCAGAGCCACCGGTTTGAACGGAGCCGCGTTTCAGACGCGTCGAACTAAGGCTTATTGGAGGTCCACCTCGTCTGCAAAAATATGTTAAACCCTTTTAGTAAAGAATCATATTACTTAAAATAGCAAGCTTACAATCTCAAAACAGTAATTAATAAAACTTTTTAACTTGAGATTCGAATGCCATTTTCTGCTTACAGATGCCTGTAATACCACTTTATCAGTACATATAGTTAGTAAGTATAGTTTTTATACGTGTAGGTAAATTAATTGTTTTAACGTATCCTGGTATGTTTAAATATGTTTTAATAAATCTGAACGAAGAAAGAAGTGTAAAAAAGAATGAACGAAATTAATGAAAAATGTATAAAATAGTATGAAGAATATTTTAAAAAAGTGATACAAGAGATACTGACGATAAAAATTAGGCTAAAATAGAGAATACAATAATAATAAGTTTTGAAATGAGAGAGTTATTGAAATATTGATCTATTTAATTAAATAAGTAAGAAGAAAGGTGCTACAAAAAGTATACAATCAACACGCTAAACGAAAACTAGTAAAAATAGAATTCATAAATATAATTTGAGTTATTAATAGTGCAATAAAAAAAAAAAAAAAAAAATTTTAAAGTGATACAGAAATTAGAAATGAAGTACAAATAATACTATCTAATAAAAGTATTAGTTAGTATTATAACCATTTGGCAAAATGCAAATAGAAAAAGAACAGCATAATTAATAAACAAGTTAATGGCTAAATTTTAAGTCATTTATAAAAATAATCGGTCAAATTAAAAGAAAAAAGAAAGAAAAGTGAAAGAGAAGAAAGGAGGGGAACAATATATCGCAAATATTTGCGACAAGTACACTAAAATATTTTGTACTTTGAACATACATTGAAAGTATAAATGACGTAATTTATATTTCAAAAAATAATTTAATTTAT